TTCAAACTCTAGTTTCTATTCATATCAGCCCTGTCACGATCACTGTGATACACAGTCTACTCAGAAAATCCACCACAGTGAAAAAGAAAAAAAAAAAAAAAAAAGTGGCTCCCTGATGGGAGTATAGTCAGCAGACATGTTTAGGTGTGAATTCATAACTCTGGGATGACTGCAATTGCAAGGAGCTATCTCTCCTAGGGGGATTTCCCCTGTTGGGGTGCGACAGATGTAAATGATTGACTGATAGAGGGGCATAAAGGCTTGGCCATCAACCCATCTAAGAACCTAAAATTCCATTCTAGTCCCAGAGCTCCCCATGAAGTTGGCCAAGGCCAAGTTAACTGCCTATCACACTTACACTTCTCACTCTACCGCATGCTGTCCCTTCTGCTTCTATAGAGATTTATTTCAAAAGTTCTTAACATGATTTCTTCAAGTTTTCCTGTTTCAGGATCTGTTTTCCAGAGAATTCAGCTTGCAGCACTCTCAGAAGTGGAGTTGCCTTGCACACTGAAATATATTTCATTTTTCTTTGTAAGTTTCAACCCAAATATAAGGGATCTGGGAAAAGTTCATTTAAAGTGCATATGTTGGGAAAACCATGCATGGATTTCAAAAACATTTTGCAAGAAAATAAATTCATAATTTAATTTCATTTTTACAAACTTTTTGAAATCACCTTATATTCCTTTCTACTTAAAGCCTTTCCTAATCTCTCCAAGCAAATGAAATTACTCTTCCCAACTTCCCTTATATCCTAAAACCTAAGACATGACACCTAAGACCACTATCATTTACATATGAAGTCTTATAAGAAGCTATATTCTAAATTTATCAATTTTATTATCCCCCCCTTACTTTCCAAAATGTTCCTTGAGAACAGGTAGTGCTTTTCTTTGTTACTTTTCTAATATCTAAGACAGATAATTATCTAAAAATGCTTAATAAGGGGGCCAACAGGTGGTGAAAAGTCTAAGGAGCTGGGTCCTACATGGGACAGCTTCATGGTTCAAGTCCCAGACACTGTAGCTTGAGAATCATGTTGGGTGTGTGTGCATGTGTGCCCAAAATCCCCAGAGGAGAGTGAAGGAGGAGCTATTGCAGCATGGCCATCTCCTCTGGTGGGAGGGGAAGGATCCTCATTTTTTCTCTCTTGCTCCTCCTCTCTGGTGAGCACACACACACTCTATAGCAGAAACTAAAATGAAAAGATATTCAAAATGCTTAATAAGGATTCTTCAATTTTTTAAAATATTTTTAAGCTTATTTATCCATTCGTTTCATGAGTGAGACAAAGACAGAGAGGCAGACAGACAGACAACACCCCTAATTGGGTTCTGATGCTATGGTCTACCTTCCAGTCTTCAGCCAGTCCCAGGTTACTGGCAAGTGAATGCCTGGTACTCTCAGGGAAATCTCCAAACTTGAACCGGAAACCTTCCCATGTGGGGTTGCCTTGCAGAGCATCACATTTTACTGCTGTGTCACTATCTGGTCTGCTTAATACGTATTTTTAAATGATTTTATGAATGAACAGGTCCTTTCTGCACAGATCAAAATCCCAAATTTGTAGGGTAGGGTTTATCATATTACTATTTATACAGAGTTGGCACAACATAATATAGTTTGCACAAAATATGTATTCCACTCATGCCCTACTCCTATACAATCACATTTTCCAACATGATTTAGAAATAAGAAAGAGTCTACAGGTCATGTAAGAGAAATGAACTTTTTTACCATTTAAAATAATTTTGAAACTTTTAAACCCAATTATTTTCTTATTTATTACTTCCTAGTTCACAATCGCATTGTCTTTTCTATCTATCTATATAAAGTTGCACCTAACCAGGGTTGTGTTATCAGAAGATAGTCAGTCAAATATGTTATACAAAATCTCCAATCAAAAAAAGAAAGAAAGAAAGAAAGAAAGAAAGAAAGAAAGAAAGAAAGAAAGAAAGAAAGAAAGAGAAAGAAAGAAAGAAAGAAAGAAAGAAAGAAAGAAAGAAAGAAAGATTAAAAACTGGTAGTAAGCATTACCTAATTGTCAGTAGAGCTGGAATTCTTTACGTTTTTAATGGGACTGCTTCCTTGGGAAGTAATCATCTGTATTCAGTCAGAAAATGGGATACAAATGAGAGTTCATCTTGCCTTCTTAAAAAAGTCCTGATACCCCAGTTCACTGCAACTCTTCTCTTTATTTCAATCTCTTAATAACTACGAACTACTATCTATTATGGTATGTAACAGTTAACAGTATTTACAGAATGAACACAGGAAAAATCCAGTGTAATTGATCACTATGATAAAAAATCATCCTTCTTATCTTCTTATTTATCCCCATTTTTTCTACTCTACTGAATTTCTTATCTACTTCTCCTTGGCATGAGTATCTTATCATTGTCTGATTTTCGCAGCTAATAGTGTCTTGATGCACTTACTTGTTTGTAATCTTTAGAGTAAAGTCTGCTGGGGCAAGGAAGGTGACTGAACAGCTTTAGATCTCCTAGGGCTGGTGTTCCAAACTCCTGACAGCTATACTAAATTTCTTCACTCGGGATTCCTGGTTGTTATTCCTTCTCCTGGTTGGACTTTAAACAAGCTTCTTTTCTAGCTCTACATATTTTAACGGGAGTTTCTAAAAAATGTCTACAACAGACTCAGAAACACATCTGAGAGATAAATATTTCACAGACTCTGATACTAATGGTTGAATGGTGAAACTGACATCAGGTTTTCAACCTGATGCTTAACCTTCAATATAGGTGAGTATATTGAGACTAAACTACAATTTCAACAAAAGGGATGGGGTATTCTTTTTTTTATTAACCCCTCAAATTCAAAGATATTGACATGTTTTGAAATGTGAAATATACTACACAAATCATTTAAAAAGACAGAAAAATAATATCATATGAAATTCATATAATCTGAAAATAAGGATTATGGTCCAGAAAATATTATAGGATGTTCTTATTTACAAAACATTCATTGAATTGAAATAGTTTTACATAAGTAGAATAATATTTGAAGTTAGAGCTAGAGGGAGATAAATAGCTATAAAACTTGGCAAACAGATGTCTTAATTATGAAATCAATTTAGACAGAAAAATAATGAATTATTAAGAGAAATGACAATTAGAATTAATTTGCAAGTTTGAAAAATCCCTCTATTTGGACATGAAATTATTGTCACATTCTGAAATGTTCAGACAGAAAAATGATCTGGAATGGGATGATAATAGAGATGATGAGGAGGGTAGTGACCAGCAGTGTAGAAAAAATCATCCATTTTTTCTATTTAAAAGTGGTGTTACAGATGGTATTATTTCCTTCTGAATATATTAAGGATGATTGAAAATAAGAGTTATTGACCTTAAGTTCTTTCCTTCTGAGTACAAATATGTCCTTCCAATAGAGGCTGCTTTTGAAGACCTTGTTATTGGGAACTTTCTCATTGGACTCAGAAGCTGCATGATACTTCTCCAAAGCAATCACCTCGTTCATGAATTGTGTATTTCAAAGTTATTCACTTATAGTTGTTCTTGACTTATTGCCTCAAGACAATCAAAGATGTCCTCCTCACTTTAGAAAAATAAAAAATATCCTCCGAAATGTAAAATAAAATTTAAAAAGCAAAAATGTTCCCTTGGCAGCAGATATGCTGCTACAAAATGCTGGAGACCATAGGCAGAGGCTATTGGATTGCAACCTGGGTCTCCCTGAACATGCCAGGTCCACTGGGTGTTCTCATGGTCCTAGATGACTACAGAGCTGGGGAGAGGATTGCATTATAGACCCCATCAAGGCTGTGTGAGTATATGTGTATGTGTGTGTGTGTGTGTGTGTGTGGGTGTGGGTGTGTGTGTTTGTATCTCTCAAAAGAAATAAATATACTTCAGAAAAATGTAGCCTCATAATTGTTTGGGTTTCCTCAGAATGTCAAACTATTCATATCTCAGCTTAAATGAACACACATTATCACATTTACTAGAACACATCAATTTACTACTGACTTAAAATAATTTTACACAACCAATCTTATTTGGTAAGATTCATTAACTGGACCTGTCTTTGTCATTCAAGAACACACATCTTGGAAAACAATCTTCACAGCAATCTGTCTTGGGAAATCATAACATTCAAAGATTTTAGAAAAAAAAAAAACCCTGAAGTTTCACTTTGAAAGACCTATATCTTATTTTAAATTAGATCTTCTAAGAATAATTACGGTAGTTATTATTATCTAACAGTGAATTTAGGAATTCACTGTAAAAATTTGAATGTTATAACAGTGAAAGTTTTAAACTGAATAGTATGTGAAATGTTTGGCAAACAGTAGATAGAAAAGAGACCAGGGGGCTCTTCTTGGAATCCGAAATGTGTAACATTTGTAACTGGGGAAGTGCAGATTTAATTGCACTTAAGAACATCATAATATAAATTGTGGATTATATAACACACACATTAATTGTAAAATCTCAGCCAGAATCAAAACATGAAATTGTCCCAATCATTTAAGTAAGAAGTGAAGAAACCTCACAGCCGAGTCTAGCATGAGGTCAAGGACTAATAACCACAGAAAATGGTCATTTGGATAGACAGAAAAGTTTCTAAGTATTGGCTTTTAAAACAAACTTTCTATAAATTTCCAAGAAATATTTAACCACAGAAACTGTAGTTTCAATTCTAGAAACTAGTTCAAGGAATAAAAGAAAATAAATTTTAACATGGGTTACTCTAAGAGCTCAAAAGATAAAAAAAAAAATGCATTTTTTTCAATTACTCATTTTTTTAGAACAAATAAGTAGGAGTTTATTTTGGTGCAAAAAATGAAATCTACACATAGTTTTTTAATAGCACATATTTTCTGTGAACTTTTGGAAAAACCTTTGATTACTTTGGTTAAGTCCCTATCCCCATAGATTTAAGTCTCTGATTCTTAAACCTGACATAGCTTAATTGCTCTGTAAAACAAACAAATGACATTACATTCTAGAGTATGGTTCTTCTAACTGAACTGGCTATTCTCATTGGGATAGTTAATAGGCAGCAGATCATAAGGAAAACATTCCCCTTGGCTCCTATTTGAAACCAACAGCTACAGCAAACTGCTGGTCATGATTCAGGGCCTAACCATTTCCCAAATTATTATCAAGTATTACCTAGATCTCTGTTTTTCAAATTCACCTCTAGAGTCTTACATTGCTAATCAAATTTCATTATTAAATAAAGCCACTTCTTACAAACTCTTGAGCACTTTGTGCCCACGAGAAGTTTATAGAGAGCTCTCTTCACTTGAGTTGCATTCCCTTTTGATCAAAATCATTGGAAATAATATTGAACTCGCATTCCCTGCTGTCCTCTTCACTTTTATTTAGTGAAATGATTCTAAAAACTAGTCAGCTTCCAGGTACGCTGTGATGCACAGGAAAGCAAACATGAACAAGATCTTTTTGGTCAAGCAGACTCAAGTATGTAGAATCATTGACCTCTGTTGGTGGATGGTTTCATTACTAGAAATATGTTTGTTTAAAAAGTAGATGAATAAATATGTGGCAAAGTGCTATATTTCCGAAATGCATACTGAAAACCATCAATCCATGGAATTGCATTCATTCAGGGAGTTTAGCCATGATGATGAAACCTTTACTAGTTTGGGATACTTGACATATTTATGTTATTCATTATAACAATATAATGAGGTTTGCATTATTATCTTCAGCTCACACATACACACACACAAAAATAACAAAACCAGAAAATGAGAACTGACGCTCTGAGAGTTGTGGCCACGTACACAAGGATAAGTTAATAATAAATAGTAGAGCTGGCATAGGAAGAGCCCATACTACCCACCCCTCCAACTCCACACCACCCCAGCATTTACTAGTTTGCACATGAAAATATCAGTACACCTGGCAATTTCACAGCATAGGTGCTTTAATTTTTTGCATTTTTCCTCACTCTCATCCAATCCCTGTATAGTGGGTCCTTAATAAAAAAGATAGTGATTAGGCTTGAGATCTTAGAGCACAGTGAAAGATTTCCATCAAAGCTCAGTGGTATAGGCTGTCAACACAAACAAGGCCTGGGATTAGGTAAATAGACATAGTGTATACAAATTTACACCACTGGAAATGCCAAGATAAAATTAAGATGAATACATCCAAGAATTTTAATTGAAAACATGAATGAGATTCCAATATCACCAAGGACCAAGAAACAAAGTGAAAATTAAAAAAAAAAAGGAATACTCTAACAGAAGTTAAAAATTTTGCCCATCTAGGATAGTTGTGAACATCTCTGAGATGTTAGCAACTGATGTGATAGGATTCTACTTTACAGTATTAATTCAAATAAATTATGAGAATTCTACTTTGCAATGCAATTATATGAAGAAATATAAAAGGACTGTATTTCCTTATTTATTGTAGAATATCTAGAGAGAGCCTTTACGTGTGTGCTTTTATTGAGTCTTAGTACACTTGTGGAGTCCTTTTCTTTTTTTCTTTCCTTTTTTTTATTTTTTGGCATAAGGCATGTGTGCTCACTGATGAAAGACAGGGATAGTGAGAGAGAAACTGAGAAATCATTCCTCAGGGAAATGGCCATGTTCCAATCCCTTTTCCTCCATTCTCCTCCTGGGATTTGGGCATACATACACACATGCCAGCCATGATTTTCAAGCTCTTGGGTTCCTAACTCAAAGCACAGTCCACTATGTGGCAGTCTAGCACCTTAACCACTATCCCTCCAATTTGTGGAATTCTTAAGAGACAGTCTGTTACATCTCAATTTAAAATAGTAATTCATTAATTTACATCATTTTGGTAATGCATTTTATTAATATTCTCACTGGCTATTTACTGAAAGTTACTGTGAGAAGGATTAGACATGATAATATAGTTACTGTCCATAATCTGTTCAGGGAAATGACACCGATGTATTCTTAGAGAGAGAGAAATACAAGGATTCAAAACAAAACAGAAGGGTAACATAGGGCTATGAGAGTTGGCGAATAGGTACTTGTGGATGCTTCATGGTATTTGAACACATCCTTGAAAGATAGGAATTATTTTAATCCAGGAAAGATGAAGATCATGTCACCAGAGGATACAACATAAAGCATAACAAGTAATATCATTTAGGTACAGAATACATAAAAAGGAATCTTGGATGACAGCACAGGTGAGCATCAGATTTTCAAGAGCTTTCAAGAGTTTATATAATGCTTGTTATAAAATAATTACTGCAGATTTATTTTTAAAAAAGGATAAGGTATAATCAAAATGGTAATTTAGAAAGATGAATGTGGTCATTTCTCTCTACAGACTTGACTAATTGACAGAATGGACAGAAGACAAAGAACCACTTAACGAAAGCCCAGATATTGGGAAATGAAAAGCTAAACTAGAGTGATGACAATAGGAATCACAAGACAGATTCCTGTAAAACACAGAGATACATCTGTCATAAATACTAAAAATAATAAATAATTAAAACTTGCAACTCACTGCAGTTCAGGGTTGATGCTAAGAATGAAGGAATAGTTCACAAGTCATGTGTCTTCAAGAGCAATAATAGCAATAAAATGTAGAAGCCACAAGGCACTATGCATATGAAATCTATGTAGCAGTGTTTAAGAGTCAGTAAGTAATTTTTTGAACAGACCATGGTGCAGCACTAAAGCTTGAGCTCTGTGAGGCTGACTCACCTGGGAAGGGTCTGGGTTCTGGCCACCTCTCTGAGCATACCTATCTTGTATGTGCCAGCACAGGTTGAAACTGGGAGTAGATCTCAGAGTCAACACCCTGTTGGAATTGATCTTTCTCTTTCTCCTCATTCATAGAAAAACAATAAATAAATTTTAAAAATAAGTAATAAACATTAAAAAAAGGCACCTTCAAATGTGTGTCTTGAGTTTGGGGAGAGGGAGATAGGGAATGTAGATACTAATTTAGGAATTTAAAGAATTATTTAACTACACCAATCCAGTTAGAATTACAACAGGAATAAAATGCCTATAGAGAATAGAAAGTCAGTCTCTTTAGAGGACATAAATAAATAAATAAATGAAAAATAAAATAAACAAGAATAACCTGAGAAGTAAGAAGATAAAGAAATCAGAGGTATTAAGAGAACCTAGCAGTCCTGGCATTGGTTCAAGCAAGAACAGCACTTTTAAGGATCACTCAATGAATAACATGAAATACTTCAGAGATAAAGGGTGTAGCTTGAACAAAGGGCATCAGTTCAGCAACGTCAGTATGCTGGCGCATATCCTACCTCGGCTCCATGGTTAATACGCTCCTTCACAGAGCCTGTGAACTGTGTTCTGGTGTCAGCCTTCTCCCCAGGTCTGCCCTCCTCCCCAGCACACACTACCTGAACATGAAAGGTTTAAAGACTATGAGACTAGGTTTTAAACGAGAAACGAATGCACAGGTGTACTCTTTTAGTTTGAATGTGGAAATATTCCAACATAAAATGAAGTATTTTCTATTTCTTATCCCACTATCACTATGACACTGTAAGATCAACACAGGCGTATCTACCAAGTAACAGAACGCAAAAAGGACTACCCTATCTGTTAAAAGAAAAAATTTTCAGGATGGGAGGGAAAGGCATAAATTTCTCAATAGATGGTAAACTTAGGAGTTTTTTGTTCATTTGTTTGGCTTTGGTTTTTGCAAGAGGTAATTTTACAAGATACTTAACTGTAATAAAATTAATAATGAACAATAGTAGTAGATATTACAAAGTACTCTAGTATGTTCAAACATTTAAATGTGCTGTTCAAAATATACATATATATGTATATACACACATATATATATGTTGATGTGTGTGTGAGAGTGTCTGTGCATGTATATATATAGGTATATATGTGTGTGTGTGTGTGTGTGTGTGTATATATATATATATATATATATATGCAAGTGGGATAGTGGTTCAGGCACTGGATCTCACATGGCCAATTGGACCCATAGGTTTGAAAACACACCAAGTGTATGTGCATGCATGCCCAAATGTCCAAGAGAGTAGAGGAGAAGGGATTGTAGAGCTGCCATTCTCTTTTTGTGTATCTCTATCTGTGTCTCTCTCCGGCAAGCACATGTTTCCTTTGGCAAAAATCTCAAAAAAATTTTTTAATTCCTTAAATTTTGTGATCAATGTCTATGGGATGTCTATGGACATACAGTGCTTGTATCTAGTTATATGCTTGAGATGATGTGCTTATGTGTGTGTGTGTGAGAGAGAGAGAGACAGAAAGGGGGAGAGAGACAAGAGTGAGGCATTATAGTATCATTGTGATGTACTTGTTTCCAATAATATGATTTTGATCATTACAACTGTGATATCAGGAAATATTCTCCTCTCTACCAATTCTCTGTATTAAATTAAAAAGAAGACATGCTTCTAACAGGACTGGTTCCCTCAGTATTCCCAGAGGGAAGGCTATTTATTTTCAGTCCTCTCTTTCTTTCAACACATTTTGTAATAAAATAAGGCAGAGAGGGTGAAGATCTCTGACAATTTGCCCTCTGGGGTACAATTTCTTGTCTTCCTTTCATTGCAGACCTGTGGCTCTGAGCCCCCCCTTAAACTCCTCCCCTGGGTTTCCTGCCTTGGCTGAGTAGTGATCAGTGATCAAACACTGAACTACATTTCTTCTGGCTGGAAAAGATCATTTATTCATTCATTAATCACCACTTGTATAAGTCATGTAATTTGATGAAGACAAAGAAAAGTCTGGACAAATACTTAGACTAAGCCTCTGAATGTAATTATTTATGATTTCTTGATTATGGTTGTTTGTTACCATCTGTATCCCTTCTTTTCAACTGGCCTGACACACAAAAGAAATTAAATTACATTTCAGATAATTGATACCTCTACTTATCTTGGCAAAAGAAAGGTTATTTTATTTATCTCATTACAATATGAAAAAAACGTAGTATGATTGAAGATATGTTGACTCTCTCAGCTCAACTTCCTGTCGCTATTGTGATGATCTGAAAACCTACTATTAACAGTATTCACTCATTTAAAACACACACACGCATGTGCACACATATATTCATTCTTTTAATAATTTTATATCCTATACTACCTACTTGTATGTGATACA